CACTACTTAAGGATGCAACGTTTATAGTTTGTCTGAGCGTTCTTGCTACCAGCCCATCGGGAACTCTCCCAAATCTCCCGATTACCCATCTGCCAATGCTATGCAGTGCTGTAGTTTGCTTACTGGGCCTACTTTCCTACCTGGCGGATACAAGACCACGTCAGTCATGTAAGAGGTGACAATGCGCTGCTCATATGTTAACTATGAAGCTGCTCCTGCATTCATTTGCATGGAAGTTCTTAGTAGATAAACTGCTAAATAAGCCGCCCCCATTAGCGCAAAGTGTTGGCAGACTTTCTGTAATTAGCACCTCTTTTAGTAAACCTAGCCCAAAATCTTGACGGTGGTCAAAAGTCCTTTTGGTCTAAACTCAAACTGAAGCCCATAATAAGCCCATAAAACACTGTACGTGAGTAAGCTTTCATTAACCAACTCCATTATTATTATATACAGGCTCAGACTCACACTGCTGTGTTGAGAAGTCTGCTGGCGCTAGTTCAGTCTGACTCACTGCATGATGGGAAGGGAAGCTTTCAGTGGAATTCAAACAGGCTTGGATTTGGGGAATAGATTATGCAAACACAGATTACAGATTACTGTTCCAGCCCAAAACCCCAGTTCTGCTCTGATCTCGACTGCTTCATCGAACGAGCTGTAAACGCTATTTTGCCATCCGCTGTTATTTTTGGATTTCTGTAGGAATCTTAGCTCTTCTGCAATCATGCCTTTCTAAACACGTACTGAAGGAGTAGTGCGCTGAATTGACTTGATCCAAATGTGCACATCCTTTCTGCATGAATAAAATACAGTATATAAAACAATTATTGCTAAAAGTAAGACACACTTGTGCTGATGTAATATATTTTATACATCTGTAAACAAAGTACACAGCTGAATCATGTAAATCCAATGCACTGCTCTGTACAGGGATGAGAGCAGAAAAAAGGAAGTGAAGAGCAGAACTAGCACTCATTCATCAGACAACATGCACACCAACAACGCTGTAGTCATAGTGATTAGAAAACACCAGGATAATACAGGGTAAAGCCCAATCCTGTGATGTAATACACACATGGTCATGTGGAGACACATGAATGACCCCGTTGATGACAACAAATCCCCTGGGCGGCATCCAAACATCATCAAAATATCACACAGAGGTTTCTTTACGACTCTTGCTCCAAACTAGAGGCTAGTGTCTGCTTGCAGAAAACATCACGGCCTTAGGTTTTCCTTTTGGCCCCTTGGATTAAACTTCATTTCTTCAGTTTTTGAAGTTTTTTTCACAGCTTTAAATTCATACAATCATTTAGTTGAAGGGGAATCCTTCAAAATTTCTACATAATTCTGTGGTTATCAAAGTCATCCAGAGTGGTCTGATGTGAAATGGTTCACTGTAAACGTACAGACTCAGATGTCTTAACAGTGGAGGTGATAGGAACCAGAGGTCACCATGTCTACAACACAAATTATGCCATATTATTTACTATCCAAACCACCAGTTAACCTACACATCCTCTGAATTTTTATATGTAATGTTGAAGATGGTAAAATAGTGGTCAATCTGAAAAAGAACGTTTCCTTTGGGGACTATTTTGCCTTACAGCACTCTTTATATATCCCTCCATCATGAGTACATTAAAATAATTTGATTAAAATACGTTTTAGGCCAAAACATCACCAGAAAACTACCGTTAAACTATGCGTTAGACATCATGCAGCGTATTCATAGTTATTACATTTCATGTAATAACTTTCATTTCATGTAATAACTTTCTTTAGACATCTGGTTTCTGTATCCACCACTATGAACAATTCTGACTGGGTTTCTCTAGAACTAAGTATTTTACACCAAACCACTATGAATGATTTTGAAAAAAATCTGTAGAATTCCCCTCCAAGTAAAATGATTAATGGATTAATTTAAAGCTGTGAAAAAACTTCAGCAGCTGTCAAAAACTGAAGAAATGAAACTTAATCTATGGGTCTAAAAGATCACAGAGAAAAAAGTAAAAAACTATGATGACCTAATTTGATTACATGCTAAGCATTTAACTGTACAGAAATTTTGAAATTTGTTCCCCTTTTAGATAAATACATAACCCTTGTGTGGTGTTGATGTGTTTGTTACTCAGTGGTCTGGTGGACCCACCACATTATTGCTTTTTAAATCAATACAGCCATAACAATTTATGTAAATATACCAGATGTTTAAAATATCACAAGGGGCCAGCGTAGGGTTCTCCTTTAGCAGCTGTAGCCAGTCAGCAGCCTGTCCATGTTGTCCACCCTCACACACATATATACAAACACATACACACACACACACACACACACACTAACAGCAGGCCATGTAGGAGGAGAACAGAGTGAAGGACACAGCACCTCCACACTTTTATTCCCCACAGGTTCACTCAACACCACATGTGTAATATAAATGTGTGGGGGGTGAACAGAGTGAAGGCACTGAAAATGGGTTATTTTATATGTTCTTCACAGAAAATGAGCAAAGACCAAGAATTCTGAGGCTGAAATAATGATAAATAGCATCATTTTTTCTTTTGGTGAACACTGAAAATGGGTCCTACAGACCCCAACACCACACAAAGGTTAAAATACTTTATGCCGGCAGCCACTGTCGTGCAACACTGCTATTAAAAAAGAGACACAGCAAACAAAACTACGTTTTCCTTACTTGTTCACATATAGAGTGGGGTCCAAAACTCTGAGACCACTAGTCAAACTGCCTCTATTTTGCATTCTTTTCTATTCTAATGTAATGCAAAGTTTTCACTACAAACTGCCAATTTCATTAAAACCAGCACTTCATTTTGTAAAAAGTAGCAACCTTTGCCGACTGTTAACCTGTTAGCATCTACTCTTTGCTGTTAATACCATGATGTCTCAATACTGTCTGTGCATTTATTTTGATAACATGATCTAACAAAGCTGAAAATATGCACATATTATATATTTTTGTTTGCGTCACAAAAACTTCTACAAGCAAAACAGTACATGAATAGGAAAATACTACTCACTTCAGTGTTACTCATTACTGTTCTAAATGTGCTGACGCGCTTCCTCTGAAAGTGTATCCAATAAAAGCCAACTTCTTTTACACAGTGATAGAAAACACGGTAGCACAACGAAAACTCTAACGTATCACCTACAAGCCGCTAGTTATCAGAGGGTTAATGAACTGTGTAAGAATGGATGTCTAACACCCCTTTACCGTGATAAAACTCATGTGTGTCTTGCTGGAATAGATTTTTCAGAGAGCTTTGGACAGTGTTGAGCAGTGTTTGGATCCGGGAAGCGTCAGTGGTCTATCATTTCAAGACTGTGGTGTCTCAGTCAGGAGAAAATTAGAGGTTTTTTTGGGGCTCTGTTTGTCCACATGAAAGCCTTGAAGATGATTGCATAACTCAACCAATAAGAAAGCACATACAACAAAGAGACAAAGCCTATGAGGTCACCTGACGCAGGACAAAGCCCTTTATTATAGGTTACACGGAGGGCCTTTGTTTATGAGAAATGCCTGAGTAGAGAAGGCTGTGCTCTATTGAAAATGCTCTTCACAAGCCACACTGTTTGCGATGTGGATTAAACTGTTGACAGGTTTAATGGTGTCTATTTACATGTTTCCTGAGAACGTATATTTACCTGAGTGTAATGTTGACAGTTTTACAGGTTTGTTGAGCTTTATATTTGTCTGAGAGAATGATCTTCCATAGTGTACGCCTATAAAAATGTCAATTAAGCTGTGTGTCTACTGGTTGGTGTGTATTATACAGGTGTAAAGAAGTGTGTTCACCTGCGAAGGTGTGCCTGAAAGGTACACCGGTGTGTAGAGGCAGGGAAGGTTAAAGGTATCTATCAGATAAGCTGTTATTTATGGGTATATAGATATTCAAAGTTATTGGAAAGATGAATCAAACAGACGATGACCCTACAAACCACCTGTAGGAGTACAGGCTGAGGCCCAGTCGCAGCACAATGTATTTTGCTTTGGCAGAATCTGTGACTGTAACTTTCTCATTCAAATGCAGCATTTGAATGACTTTTAAAGCAATACCTTCAGCATCTTCAGCAGCCTATGCTGGATAGTACTTGAGGGAGACCTAAGGATCAACAAGCAGCAAACTAACAAAAACAACAGCCAAGTAGAGCTCCAGATCCAAGATCTTTCAATGTAATAAGAATCTACGTGCTGTACAAATGCTGCATATATGATATATACAGTAATTGGCTGGAACATGCAGCCACTGTTGCTCTCACTGAACGTTGGCGATGAAAACTGGAAACTATATTCACTCTATGGAAATCATACAATTTTCATTGCGAAGTTCATGTGAACCCCATGATCACATGATGAAAATGTTACTGAATTTCTGAAATAAATACGTTCTGATGAAGCTTATTTTGTCCACTCATAGCTATAACAAAATATACTACTTCTTCAACGGAGAATCTCTTTCTTTTGGGTCAAATTTGAGCAAAAAAAACAGATGTGACTAATTATGACTAAATACACACAAACAAAAAAATCACAATGATTAATCTTAAACCTATGACAGCCCTAGTATTTATTCAATCTGTCATGGATAGATGTTCAGAGTAGTCAATAAATGTATATACATTATATATATATATATATGTCTTTAGAAGTTTGTGCATTTACCTAATGCTGCTTCAAATAAATTCTTGAGATGTTTTATGCAAGTGGCCTCTGGAGTTTAGAGGGGGGTATTTCAGAGAGCAGGGTTTTTCAGTTAACTGGATAACTTGAGTCAAAAGTGAGGGCTATCCAACATAAAGTTTTGCCTCTTCTCTTATTTGACAGGCTTGACATCTGGCTTAATTTAACTGGCTTATTGAGAAATCCTGCTTTGTGGAATAACCCTGATGTGTGTATTTACCCAAACCAATACTGTTTCAAGTGTACAGTGTTTAAGACCTGTTAACTGGTGTGCGCTACATGTATTTTGAGGTGTATTTACCTGATAAGATGTTGTTGACGGGCGTGGCGATGTTGATGTCCTGCAGGTGCTCCAGGGTTTCAGTATGGAAGAGCCGGAGGGTGGAACCGGAGCTGAAGGCGATCCAGATGCCCACACCAGCCACCACCATCTGAGACACCACCATACCCTCTTCATGATGAGCCTCCAACTGGTGCTGCACAACACAGGAAGAACATACTATGAACACTCATTGGAAACTTTACTAGAAACACATAACTTGTAGCTCCACTTTGCTTGTGTACAGTAAAGAGCCTGCAGCTCACAACCACCTGAAAGACCTGGTAGACCACCAAAACTGTCCAAATCAGACAAACATCTCAACTCGTCATTGAGAGAGAGGAGAAAATCAAGCTGCTTCAGATCTGAAAACATCCACAGATGTTTCTGTCCATCCTTCCACTGTGAGAAGACTAGAAAATAGACAAATCAAACAAAGAAGCTGCTGGTGTTCTCAGAACAATGGACTGACCACCCCAGAGTCCAGACCTCAACATCACCATATGCGTTTGGGATTATCTGGATCGTGAGAAGCAGAAAATGCTAAACCAACTTCTAAGACTGAATTTGGAGATGTGGAAAAAATTGGTCCCACTTTATATTATGTATCTCTAATAACTGTGTAGTTACATGTGAACAACAAATGCAACAACAATGTAACTATTAATGACTTAGTCACTGTTACATATGGTCTACAGAAGTACATCTTATGTAATTACACATGTGTATCAACTTCAGTTTTGCCTCAAGTAATTACACAAGTGTAATAACATAAATGTAATTACATTTGTAATCAGGCTGGACCAGCAGTTTTTTTCAGAAGTTTTTTTTTCCAGCAGTAAAAGGAAGTATGTAATAACTTACATTAAGACATTACTTACACTGTATCTGCCAGCTTTCCTAACATTTAGCTAGCGTTTATGTTGCTAGTGCTGTGACACTGTAACCAATTTCCACTTTAAACCATTCTGTAATGTGACAGTACAGCAGACGTCCCCTTATCGAAAACTGTCATGACATCAATTAAATATGTTGCATTAACCCCTAAAGCAATGTCTATATTACCAATCCATTATTACATAGTACCTACATAATAACTACACAGGAACTGTCCACTTATTTTAAAGTGTAACTTTAACACTACACTACACAAACGTTCCTGTGTAGAAGATACACTTGTGTAATTAGATGAGGCAAAACTGAAGTTGACACACATGTGTAATTAAATACGCTGTACTTCTGTAATCCATCCGTAACACTGCCTAAATCATCAGTAGTTACGGTGTTGTTGCATATGTTATTCAAGTGTAACTACATAGTAATTAGCGACACAATATAAAGTGGGCCCAAACAATATCCCTGCAGGGAAAGGAAGGTCTCTGACTTTTGCACAGTACTAAAGGTGTTAAAACCTCTACATCAAACACATTTATCTAAGCACACACTATACCGTATCACATTTTCCATGTTCACTCCACCCTTTTGCCCAGATTCCTTTGTTTACCCAGCCAAACACTTACACACCTGCTTCAATTCATCAACCAGCATTCACCAGCAGACTCCCGATTAGCTCAGCCAAGGGCTTCAATGTTTGGTTAAACTGTAACTCTTGAGAAATAGTTTAAGGGAAATCACATCTTTTTTCTAAAGCAGGCTGGTTTTCTGCTTGGCTGCGGAGCTGGAACAGACCAGGTCTGTGTGTCTGATCTTGTCAGCAGCTGAATGAGGTAACCCAAAGAGCTCGGACAGAATAAAGCAAGGCTACAGACAAAGTCCAATTAGTCAGAGACAGAGACTCAAATGGACACAGGAGAGAGCGAATTAGAGAGACAGTATCATTGGAACGCTGTCTCTAACAGTTAAAGTTAACATTTTCAGGCTGTTGGGAAATGAATAAAGCATTTAACAGCCCCAATTCCGCAGGCAGGCTTTAAGCCAGTGTAAGCCAGCGCTCATCGCTTTTCCACAGCCACTTCTAGGCTGCAGTGAGTCTTGCGCAGGGAAAAAGTACGGCACTTGCTTGATTCATTTCCACATGAATAAAACATATTTTAAGGTTTAATCTTTCAGTATACTTACTTTCTGCAACAATTGTGCTGATGTAATATGTTTTATTCATGTGGAAATTACAGTACTGTGCAAAAAATCAGAGACCCTTTATTTATTTAATTTTCAGTCAAAAGGAGACACTTTAAATGTAACTACTGGGTTTAAACTAAGTCGAATAGCTAATGATAGAAATGTAAAAAAAACTGTGGTCTGAAGCTTGAAGAAAAAACTTACGTTTTGTTTTGCTTTAGGGAGCAAGGAGCAGACAGAGAGAAGCATCTCCAGCTCTAATAAATGGAAAAAAAAATGAAATCAAAGTTTCTGGGTCTTTAAAGAACCTTAAAAAACTTCACAGAAGTGGCAAACTTGAAAGGACATGCCTTCGTAGACAGTGTCCTTAGAAGGATGCAGCCCCTGAATTGGGACACAGCCACAGTTTCTCAAAGAAATCTGCAGGGATATTTTTTCCACACCTCCAAAGTTCAGTCTTATAAGTTGGTTTTGCAGTTTCTCATGATCCAAGAAATCCAAAACACATTCGGTGATGTTGAGGTCTGGACTCTGGGGTGGTCAGTCCATTGTTCAGCAGCTTCTTTGTTTGATTTCTTCTTTTTTGCCGATTTTCTTTTCTCAGTGAGAGCTTCTTGACAGCTGCACATCCTTTCAGACCCATAGTGTTGGGGAAGGCTCTGACTGCAGAGCTGCAGATTCACACCTGCAGTTTCACTCCAGTGGAACGTACGCGCAGCAGGGCAGCCGATTGCACCATGTAAACAAAACCGAGCGTCCCATTCATATTTCAACCAGCGTTCGTTCTCATGTATAACGTCTCCGATGTAAACAGTGACTGTGCTGGTTGTACGTGTCGCCATGCATATTACTATTCAGGAAGGGAGACCGTCGCCAAAATACAAATCAACCATTGAACCATAAATCAAAACACATTACAAAACCATCAGAAAAAAAACATTTAACAGTTTCTGTGTTTTTATAGCAGGGATACATTCAACAACCAAAGTTTGTTTTAGCTTAAAGCTTAATATTATGCTCAGTTTAAGCCTGCTTGAGCTACATAACCCATTATGTCTACATAACCCATTAGCTTACACAGGCCACATAAGCTGTAGTTTGTGTAATATTTACCCTGTGAATCTCTTCGTATGTTCACACCAAAGTTTGTTTTAGCCTAAAGTTTTAACAGAACATTAGCACAACGTAAATTCATCACAAATTTACTGGAAACCCACATAAAAGACTGAAATGTTGATTAGACTTCCCATTCATTATGCAATCCCCTCGGAAATATCTCCCGAAAAATGAATAACTTGTAATTTCTGGCTGTTAAAGGGTGGTCTCTGACTTTTGCACAGTACTGTATGTGCACACTGAACATCAAGTAAACTCAATGCATTAGTTATTTCAGTGTGCATCTGCGCTGGGCATATTCTGTGCTAACAGCTCATGCACAACTCCTGGCCTTCACCAAGCCAAAACAGGTCTGGAGGTGTGGATACGATTAATGGGGCAATCATGATTACTTTCCACTGACTCATCACAGAATAAACAGCCAACACGCTGCTCTGCACGGTATTACAGATCACTGCGGGGAGCAGCTCTGTCTCAGTGGGTTGTGTAGAAATGTGCGGAGTGCAGTGACGAGGCTGAAGGCTGTAAGTGAGCATGCATAACTGTCTGACTTCAGCATCCACTGTCCCTGAAAGGACTCTACTGCGAGAGGAGCAGGTGCAGATGGGACAGTAAGGAGCTTAGTGACCAGAGCAGGATTGAGTGTGTGTCTCTGTGTGTGTGTGTGTGACAGAGAGAGAGAGAGAGAGAGAGAGAGAGAGAGAGAGAGAGAGAGAAGAATTTACTATTCTGACACCTATGCTGGTGTCTTAAAAAGAGAGAGAGAGAGAGAGAGAGAGAGAGAGAGAGAATGAGAGAAGACTGAGAGGGGAAGAAAGAAAGAGGGAGCGAGAGTGAGAGCGAGAGACAGTGAGAGAGAGAGAGCGAGTGAGAGAGAGAGTGAAAGAGAAAGAGCAAAAGAGAGAGGGCGAGATATAAATATAAATAAAATAAAAAGTGAGAGAGTGTACAAGGGAGAAGAGGGGGAGAAAGAGAGATTGGGGAGGAAGAAAAAGTGAGAGAGAGAAAATGCAAAAGATGGAGAGACAAGAGAGAGAGAAGGAAAGAGAACGAAAGACAGAGGGGGGAGGGAAAATGAGAGGAAGAGAGAGACAGACAGAGAGGACAGAAAACAGAGCGAGAGGAGAGAGAGGAGAGAAACAAAGAAAGAGAGAGAGGAGAGAGAGACAAGATAAACAGATAGAAAGAGAAGAAGAGAGGAAAGGAGAGAGGGGAGAGAAAGAGAGAGAGAGAAGAGAGGTAGAGAGAGGAGAGAGAGAGAGGAGACAGAGAGACAGAGGAGAGAGACAAGAGAAACAAACAGAAAAAAGAGAAGGAGAGAGGACAGGAGAGAGAGCAAGAGCGAGAGAGAAGAGAGAGAAACAAAGAGGGAGGAGAGAGAGAGACAGAAGAGAGGAGGACTGGGGAAAGGAGAGAGAAAGAGAGAGAGAGAGAGAAGAGAGAAGGAAAAACAGAGAGAGGAGAGAGACAAGAGAAACAAACAGAGAAAGAGAAGGAGAGGAAAGGAGAAAAGAGAGAAATTCAGAGACAGAAAGAGAGGTGAGAGAAATAGAGGCAATAGATAGATAGATAGATAGACAGATAGACAGATAGATAGATAGATAGATAGATAGATAGATAGAAAAAGAGAGAGAGAGAGCGTCTGCAGGCGTCTAAGGGTTAAACACAGCAAACACATCCCTTTTAGATACACACTCGACAACTCTGTTCAAACGTAACTGGCACACAGTGAAATAAAACACTGCAGCACTGAGCTGAATCTCGTTCACGGATGAGAGCTGAGTTTTTCAAAATGTTCCCGTTTCTTCAGTAAACGTATCCGGACGCAGAGGGAAGCGCTCTGGGGAGTATTTAGCTGTGTGAATGCTGGAGCTGCCTGGCTGCTCAGGAGCTGCGTGGGACAGCGGAGCAGGAGAAGTGTGAACTCACGCTGCACACACACCCACCTCTCTCCTGCTGTCTAAAATAACCTCCACACAGCGGCCTGCCGTGAGGAGGAGGAGAGCAAACGCGCTGCTCAAATTCCAGCCCTATTAAACCGGGACAGTATAAAACCACCAGCACCAAACCAAAGTGTTAAGCATCTTTCTGCAAACCAGCTGAAACAGATTAAAACGTGTGCAAATGTCTTGCTAGGGCTGCTGCTGGCTTAAAGCTGTAGCTCAGCAAAAAGCTCATTTACACAATTCCCCCTTAGTCGATTAGACAAGACATGTTTGGTGTGTTTGCTTTTTCAGTTCTGCGCTGGAGCTAAAAAGGCTGGAATAGCTAACAAGGAATGGATGCTTAAAGAGACGTGGTGGGTAAGGGGGGTTAGAGGCGCTGCAGCATCTCCAGACTGCAGGACTGTTTAACTCCATCTACTAAAAAATAATAATTCGAGCCTTTACTTCACTTTAAGGTGGTTTGAATTTTTATTTATACATTTTTATGGGTGGGAAGTAACAAAGTATATGTACTTTGGGTAACACTTTTCTGTAGGCTGCTGTTCATAAGGCTACATGACACCTACATTGCAACAAGGTTGTCATGACAACTGATATAACCCTGCATAACTGTTTATGAACACTTATTACAACAGACGTCATCCGCTATAAATTTACCAGTTTTCATCGGTCAGTTAGAGTAGCCTTTATGACAGATGATGCCTGTGGGAATAAGCATTTATAAAACAGCTACACAGGGTTATGTCAGTTGTCATAACAACCTTATGTAGGTGTCACGTAGCCTCATGAACAGCACCCTGCAGTAGTGTTACCGTACTTTGTTACTAGGGTGAGTAACCTCATTAAAAATTGTAGTTGGTAGTGTAAATGAGTGTAATGTACCTCAGCAGTAATATCATTATGATTAAATGACATTAATTACATTGGCCGATACCAGTATCCCTATTTGTTACTGTACTTCAGTAAATTTTTAGACCTATCTGTACTTTACATGGGTATTTCTATCACTTAATACATTTTCCTATTACTCATTACATTTCAAAAGAAATTTGAATTGTTCCTATTACGTTTTCTCATTTATTTATTTATCTTTTTTGCAGATCGGGAATCAAGTCAAAAGTCAAAAACTTCAGTGGAAAAGCTGCGCTCGTCATATGTCTTTCCACGGAAGGCCGGGCTGAACCGTAGAGCAGTGTTACTCTTATTTGCGAATTTTAAAAACACTCAGCTCAAAAATCAATATTGATTCACTGGCATATGTACCATCCTCGACATTGCCATCAGTTAAGTTTGCTAAAAGACCTCGATAAATAAACACGCAGGCCTCACCACCGTAGCTCGGTGAGTAGCTTATTATAATATAGAAATACCATGTTGTGTCACTTATGTGTTGTGTCACTGTGCCACATATTGCTGGTTGTGCTATTCAAGGCGCTCGCTAACAATGCTAATGTTCATATGGGCTGATTAGGAGGAATTAAAGCTGGTGGACTTTTTCTCCTCCAAAAGTAGCGTAGTAAGTGCTAGTTTCTTTAGTCTTTCCATTTAGAGTGATGTGGTGTTGAAGTTCTCCTCCACAGCACCGGCTATAAAGAACCACTCTGCTCCTTCTCTGCTTTGCAAAATTTGGTAGCTTTAGAACCAAAAGAAAGAAATAGTTGCAAGCCACTGCTAGACAGTTCTAGACAGTGCAAATACATCAAGAAAAAATTCCCACTCCCACGGCCTTAATTACAAGAACTATTTGACCTGGCTGGTTCAAAGAACAATTCTTGGTGATCAAAACTGATATTAAAATGAGTCTTTTATATGATTTTGCAGATCTAATGTAAAGCATTATTTACACTTAATGTCATGGTTGCAGCCCTGTGATGGACTGGCGACCTGTCCAGGGTGTTTCCTGCCTTCCGCCCTGCTGGGTCAGGCTCCAGCTCCCCCCGCGACCCAGAAGGATAAGCGGCTTAGATAATGTGTATATGTGTGTGTGTGTGTGTGTGTGTCATGGCTGTATACATCTAATCAACAATTTTTGAACCCTGTGTCTAACAAATAAACTTAATACTAAATACCTCTATTTTTATTTGAAGTACATCTTGAAGCCAGTACTTTTATACTTTTACTTGAGTAAAAAATGTAAACCATACTTCCACTTTTACAGGAGTATTTTTTTTTACCCAGAGTGTTTGTACTTCTGCCACCTCGGTACATTTTCATGCAGTAGTCATGTACAATTCAAATAAACACTGCATTTTCATTACAGTGAGTCAAACTGCTTCCCTGACCAACTGCTACATGCTTTAAGCGCATGTTGCTGTAAAAGTACGTGCAGAATAGTGGGGCGTAATATTATTTTTTAACTAAATAAAAACCAATTAATGTAACAATTTCTCATGTTTTGAATTTATGTTTTTTCCCTCAGTTATTATATCTCCCTCTCCGTGTACGTCCAAGTGTCTTTGCATGTAGCTTAACTTTGGCTTAAGGCCAGGGTTAGCTTCATTAGCCTCATAGCTCCAGTATTAAACTAAAAAAGCAAACTCCAGACACCAAACATGTCTTGGCTGACTAACTGTAAGTGAGGTAAGAGAAAAATGTTGTCAGTTTTATTTTTCACCAAACTATTGCTTTAACATTCGGAAGTCATAAGTTCCCTCAGAGACCTACGCTGTAGTAGCTGTGCTACTCTTATTCATAACCCTGTGGTTTCAGTACTGAAAGCTGGCCGGTTCCTCTGCTATGTTTCTAACTGGAGCGTGAACAAGCAGGTGGTGGGTGTCCATTTACCTCCACAGTGTGCGTGCGGGTGTTGATGATGAAGACCTGCCCTCCAGACGATGCCCACACATGCTCCCCAACGGCCAGCAGAGCCTTCACCGGCAGCACCCCGAGCTTCAGCAGCCGCACACTGGACGAGTCCCATAGGCCGTCTACAGGGGGAGAGGAGGAGAAAAAACCCTTTGTTTTGCTTGGAAACATTTAAGTACCAAAGGTAAAAGCAAAAACATGCAGGGTGGTGTTTGATTCTATCTCACACCGACCTGTACTTAAAGGACTAAGGGACAGAAAACTGTTTAAGTGGGAGAGCATCAGGAGTTTGTGTGGCATTATACTTCAATTACAGTTTACGACAAGAACTGCTCCTTTGGAACAACAGTTCCCTTCATGGAAAAAATAAAATGCATCTAATCTTAAATGGCCCATTTCCTACATTTGTCTTGTATACTTTTCATCCGCTTATAACATTTGTGTGGTTTTATGCATCAAAAACAGTCCAAATGAATGTGTACATGACTCTCTCTTTACCCTTTAGGACGGGTTTTGTTATTGTGCCTTTAAGACTCATATGTAAATGATCTCAGTTCTGATTGGCTGCCCTGTATTGCACCAATCCAGGCTGAAACACAGCTTATAGCTTCACTATGAGTGGGCAGGGCTAAACTGCCACAGGACAAAGAATTTAACAATGCCCTGGCCCTCCAGGACGAGCTCGCCAGCCTAGATAGACAGAGGCTACACTTGACCAAGCTACAAAAAACTTTCTTAAGTTACAGAGCCTTACAGGATCTCTGTATACATTGGATAAATTCATGAAAAAATGTAATTTATGTAAATATAAAGACATTGAGGCCACGGTGGCGTCAATCAAACCATACCACCACCTATCAAGACTGAATAAGACGCTATAAAATAATTCATTAGCATTTATTAGCTTAGATAATTCGATAGGCACTAAGCAGTTATTAAAAATGAACAACATAAAAAACAAAAAGGGGAAGAGGAGGCGACTGCTGACGGAAACGCAACCATAGAGAGTGCAGCAACATTAGTCATGTCCCCCATCCATCAACCCACTGAATTCACCCACTCCGTGTGTGTAGGCATGGTAAAAGCACTGTCCACAAAAGCTTCGCCGCGCCGCCTACATTATTACAGAAATGTGAATGATAATGATGAGAATCACCTGTAGCCAAAGTCAGATAAGAGTTAAGAGTGTGGGGGTGGCAGGGATTAGGGGGAATGAACAATACATCCTGCAGAAAGTGAATGACTTCATTCTATTCTATTATGTAGGGAGAGAGAAGGTGCTATTGAGTGTGTTCTTCAACACACACAGGCTGCTATTGTGGAGAGAGCAGCACACTGAACACAACTAAACTCAAACACGAAACTGCCTCCACCTCCCAGAGAGGAGAAACACTGGAGGGGTGTGTGTGTGCGTGTATAATGGCTTGCTGTGTGTAGTCCAGTCTCTTAGAGGGGGTACGCTGGAGGAGGCAAATTAAATTATAGGAATTGTTGTCTGAACAAAACCTGGAATCTCCAAAATAATAACTTTACAGGAGAAGGAAAAAAACCTTTTACTTTTAATGTAAGGCAATGGAACCAGACTTTTTTCCAAGTAACTTTTGGCCATTTCTTTTGGTCCATTTCACGAGGCATTTTCAAATTACGTCAAAAACTGACAAAAATGGAGATACAAGGTTTTGTACTGACAGCAGCTATATATATATATATATGTGTGTGTGTGGTGTGTGTGTGTGTGTGTATAAAGTTCCTGTGGAAGCAACATCAGTACATTGTTGGTTGCTTCCTAAAATAGGTTTCCGTGGCTCAGCATCTGCACACAAGCCCATGATCACTATGTGCTATGCCAAGTGACGGCTGGAGTGGTGTAAACCACGCTGCCACTGGACTCTGGATCAGTAGAAACCAGTTTTCAGGTGTTAGGAATCATTCTTCATCATCTAGCAGCCTCGTGCCATATCTGGATTTGGCAGATGCCAGGAGAACACTACCTACTGGAATACCCAGTGCCAACAGTGTCCCGTTTTATATAAATTTTGATTGATTTTCAAGTATTATATCTGTTTGTTGGGCATTTGAGTGTTGAATCTCACATGATACAGTCGATTACTGCGCCACATTTCAATAATCTGATTGATCGCCGCTCCGCTACTTTCCATAAACTTCATTCAGCACAAGAGAGCAGGGTGTGCCCCAGTGGTTTAATGTTACATGTATCACATGACAGCATGTTATGACATGTTGATGTAAGTTAGCCAAAAATTTGAAATGAAAAAGCAAATAATTTGACATGGCATTGCTGCGTGTGTTAAGTATGCAGCTTTAAACATCTTCCTGTGTCCCTGCAATATGCATTTCAGCAACATAAAGATGCTTCTATCCATCCACTCATCTTCATTCCTCACTGGCCTCAGGTACCTTCAACCCGATCTTCATTCAGTGTGTGCACTCCGGCCTCGCTGCTTACATAACACGAGCTCCCACACATACACAAACTCAAACTCCAGAATAGCAGTTGCTGATGGATTTCCTCTCTCCCTCTGCTTCAGACAATCCAAACAAGTTCTGCAGAGAATTAAAAAGTTTGGTCTGATGACTCAACACAGTCAGGGAAAAAAGGCCTGAGCAGCCACACAGCCGGCCAGTACGTCATCACTCTGCAGGATTTCCCAGGCACACTCTCAGCACATTAAAAACGGATTAAAAAGCCCATTTGCTGCATTTCCAGTAACTTAACAGTGCTGTAAAGTAGGTGCTTTTTCAGGACGTCGGGACACGAGCACACCGGCCTGCGGTCCGGACACAAACTCTCTCCTAATCCTCCTAATAACTCCAGCAAATCTGGACACTTAAGCCTGAGCTCAACTTTTATTAGCCCACTTCCACTTCACCAAGTCACAAGCTTTTTGGCAAACAGCCAGTGCCAATAAACCCTAGATGGCATTGTGTTAAAACCCATTCGCTTGACCCTATTAAGGAGAAAAACACCTAATAATTGTACCATCAGGCTCTATAATCCAGTCGCCAGCGAGAGAAACGGAATATTTCGGAGCGTTCCAGTACGGGAAGAATTATGGAAAGAGTGAGCGAGAGGGGAAAGGAAAACATTCTGTCACTGTCAGATGTCCTCCAGGACTGCGAGACCTGAAACCCCCTCGAAAAAAGGACGTTTGAGGCCGTTCTGGGATCTGTTTTTGTAACTTAGGTCACCAGAAACAGCGGAGCAACCAGATCCAACTCACATTCTTTAGATCATTACAGGCAGTCAGTCATCCAGGAGTGGATGAGTGCTGTTTAGAGTGCATCAATATGAGGCAGTGCTGCAACCAATAATCCAATTACTCACAATGTAAACTCATCCAAAGACAAGGTTTGTATTTGAAACATGAAAATGTAATAACCAAGGGATCCTTCAGGGCCTTCCAGGCCCTCCTGGTCAGTGACATTACAGTTTACTAAAAATAAGTGTGCATGCTTTCAGTGTTTTCATGTACTTATTAGAGATACACTAAACAAAATTATACTTCAGTATATTTGGCTTATACTGACAATTATAAAATGGATAGTCCTAAAATCTGATTGGCTAAGCTGTGTATAAAGCCTTTGTAAAATCCATGATATGCGTACACCTCTGACCAGCTCACAACAACTTGTACTTAATCTTTTGATCAAGATGTACTTATGAAAAGTATAATTAAGTGTTCTTGCCTTATACTTAAAGTTTAAGGGTACTTGGCTTGTAGATTCGTGTGGAAAAGCTTTTACGTACACACAGAAACAGCTAAAACTGGCTGGTGTTATTGACGATTCTTCCAAAGTGTCAGTTTGTTGTGTTTCGTTTTGAACTGGAATACTGATTTATGTTCTCATGTTTTGGTATCAAATAAAATAGTTGTTCGAAAATTTAGATTTAAAAAGAAGACAAATATGTTCTTAATCTTGGGTATATCTAGTGAATTTTTACACATTACTTAACTTAATAGAACTCTAGTAGTACACTTTAAAGTGCAAAAACCATATAAGTAGTAAGCTATAAGTATTAAGTTCAATTTACTTGTAGTTTAAAAACTATTAAATTCGTTGTTTACTGAGAGTCTATTTAAAAGTGTACATTCATAAACTAGAAAATGTGATATAATTTTTGTAGCGGTGGAGAAGTGGAGCTACCATGACCACGTCCCCACACATACACGTGAAAGCCACTCCTCTCCCTGATCAGGGACAGCTGAGGCCAACCAGAGGAGGAGCAGAACTTAAAAATATACTTTTATAAACTAAAAAGTGGGTCAATTTAGTCCCAAGAAGTACTGAAATAATACATTTACAACATACTCTGAGAACAGTGATATTAGTATACTTACTACATAAAGTATACTTGGGAAATATACTTGTACTTTACTTAGGTTTACCTAATAAAACAAACTTTAGGTATACTTTTTTGTACGGGTTGCTACTCACAGCGTCAGCTGCATCAGGACTAGCAGTGAGTTTCTGTCCAGAGAGAACAGTTTATCGTTGTTGATCAAAAGCCCTTGCTGCTGTACCAAAAACTAGCCTGGGGATTTAGCAGAAATAAAAGTGTCTGGATTCGTGACAGATTCAGTCTGCCTTTGTCTTTACCATCTTTCTACTCCTCGCACTCGCTCCCCCTGTCCCTGCTCTTCTCTTCAGCTGAAAAAATAGGTCACAGGGACCAGATTAGGAAGTCCTCAGAGAGAGCTGCAGTGATTGCCTCATAGCAATATGAGAGAGAGAGAGAGAGAGAGAGAGAGAGAGGGAGGGAGAGAGAGAGGGAGGGAGAGAGATGGAAGATGAAAGAAAAAGTCATGAAGAAAAGTGAAAACAACAAAAAAAGTGAAAAGAGAATGAGAAAAATGGAGAGAAGGAAGATGAAGGAAGATACCGAGCTCTTCTTTTGGACTATATGAGGACTAAATTGCTATTTGGACAGATGAGCAATGTCATTTTATGGACATCTGTAACGTTTATGACCGATTTGCATGGGATTAGAAACATCGCTATAACTGACAATTTACATTATTATCATCAAACAAAAGAAAATCCATGTGCAACACGTTCAGCTACGAAAAAATGTCCAAACATTTAATATAAATGTGATTTTTTTTTATCCTAACAATGTGCGCAATGACACATTTCCACCAGGGGGGTCTCCAAATCCCCCAATCTTACATGGTGTAGCTTTAAGAACAACAGAAAACTTATGAAAACTCCTTTTCCACATGATATGATGCAACATTTACTGACACACTGATTTGCACTATTCCTACAGTTTGCTCTAAGGTAAAAATGGGAGAGTGTGGTCTGTAAAAATGACTAAAACCGCTAAAAAACATCGGCAATAATCATAATACACCACGTGTAAAACTAAAAGTACTTAAAACTTCCCAGTTTCTTAACAGTATTTATTGTCCCAGCAGTTCTTCATCCATTCATAAATCACTATCTGATGAAGACAAAACAAATGGACTGAATGCTTTTCATGCTTTATAGTTTTATGCTTTTGTGTTTATGCATTATATTTTTGAAACGTATACTCTATGTTCTCATGTGATCTTTTTGGTAACACTTTATTTGGAGTACTCCCTTGTAAACTCTTAACAGATTATCAGTAACACATCAACAACATATCAGCGCAGTAGCAGTAATAAAACATCTGAATACATTTTAGTTAATATCTTGAAGATGATCTGTTGAAACATTACTTACATTAAGTAGATGTGTTGTTAATATGTTACTTCTATTATGCAAAACCTAACCTTACCAACCTTACTCAAAACCCAACCCTAACCCTGGCCCTAATCCTAACCTTAACCTAATCCTAACCCTCATATCGCTATTGTCGGAAGAAAACCTCGTATCTTAAAATGATAACTTCATAAGAGAAGGAAAAAACCTACTTTACTTTCAGTGCAAGTCAATGGAACCAGACTTTATTCCGAGTCATTCTGGGCCGTTTCTTTTGGTCCATTCATCATGAAATTCTGATACAATGTAAAGGGCAACAGAAATTTTCAAATTATGTAAAAAACTGAAAAATGCCAAAAATGGAGATGAGGTTTTCTTCCCCCAGCAGCAATATGTTTTTGACGTTACCGAGAGTCTGTTGAGTGTTTGTTTCATCTAAAAGGGCCACTCAAAATAGTGTCACCATCTTTTTTTTCTTGAGGCATTGAATGCCTGTGGTTTCTTCTTTGTATGGAAACACTGAGGAAAATCCCTCACAACTAAGTAGCAATGGCAATAAACAGTGATTGACTGATTGAGAGAGGTTGGAAGTGAAAAGCCTGATTCAAATCTGAGGAAAACAGAGCAGCTCACTGAAGCTCGCTGCTGAAGGTTCTGAGCCTTACCTGCCGTTCTGGAGTAGACTGCGAGTGAGCCACTGACCAAACCGGCATACAGACACGGACTCTTGTACGCCAGACATGTGACTGTGGCCTTGTCCGGAGAGAAGAAGTGCTGCAGACGCACTTTCTTTGAGCGCTGACTGCTCTTATAGACGGAGATACTGTAAAACAGAGACAGAACACAGGCCATCAGATGCTAACATATCACAACACCACGTATAAAATTCTTACCAACACTGATAGCAGAGTATCTAACAGACAGCAAACACATGAGATGACATACTACATTTTCCTTTCCAAAGACTTGAGCATCTGATACTGACCTGATATTTATCTTCATTAAAAACTTCTCAAACAATCAGTGTTTTACCCTAATGGAAGAAATAAGTCTACAACATGACAAACAAAACTGCACTTTATTATTATTATTTTTATTATTATTATTATTATTATTACCCGGTGAACCTAACATCTCACTAAAAACTTTATCTCCGTCTCTTTTAACTTATTAAAATCTTCTTCCGGAGTAGATATGGCATTCCACAATGGATCATGTGGAACGGGAGCTTTCAATGTGCTGTTATGTTTCCTATCACTGTATAAAAGAAGCTCAGTGCTGCCTTTATTGTTGGATGCACTGTGATAGTCTCCATTTGAACGCACTAGAACATTCAGAGCACAATTTTTTACAGTTTTATAATAACTAGGATAATCAGAATTATAATAAAAGATGACCAATGTGTGAAGCATATTCTTAATTATGCGTTACGTCACATTCTTAACATATCAAATAAACACAACGGCAGCAGCGGAAAATCACTTTATTAACAGAGAAGACAAGACTCAACTGCAGAAATAGCTGCTTTTGCATGGATCTTTATGGATCAAACCCTGCTCCTGGAGATCGACCTTCTTGCAGAATCAAGCTCCAGCGCTAACTGTCCTCACCTGAGCCATCTAACTATTGCTCTCAGAAGTCCTTGATTCGCTGTATAAGGTGTGTTCGATTTGGGTTTGAGGTGAAATGCGTTTGGGATTAGTCCGACTGTGAGAAGCAGAAAATTAAACTTCTCAGACTGAACTTTAAAACTGTGGAAAAATACCTGCAGATTTCTTCAAAAACTGAAAGCAAATGTCAATAAAATGGAAGCTTTAATAAAAGCAAAGCATGGACACACTAAATACTGAAAAAATGTACTGAGTTGTTGAAGCTTTTAACTAATTCACTTTAAATATTACAGTTAAATACTTTTCTCTTAGCCTTTCTAGAACAATGAATATCTTGAACATCTTGGCTGTTTTGACTGGAAATTAAAGAACTGAAGAGTCTCTTTCTTTTGCACAGTACTGTAGCTGCTGAACCAAGGTGAACTCGCGAGGAAAGCATAGATAATACAAGTCTGAGCGATTTTTATTTTATAAGAGAATCCTTGAGAAACATAATGACTGCCAAACTCGCCACCAACCTTAACTGTTCCTAACCTTTCATACAGGTCGGGTCGTGAATTCTCAGTCTGCAGCACTGAAATCAAGCTGGCTGGATAGAGATCACTGGAGTTAAAGTCTTACCTCCCCTCCTCCATCCCCACACACACCGTGGGTGTGTCAACAGTCCTGGGCTGGGCGTTTTGTTCAGGGTTTCCCTCACCGTCCTCCAGGGGCCCATCCAGGGGCACGTAGGTCATACAGAGGATGCGCGACTCCACATTGAAACACTCAGTCACCTTCGGGCTGGAGTTCTGCATGGCCACTATGGCAATCTGGCCCATTTGATTGGTGCAGCTGGCCACCTGACCACAAAAAAAACACAATCTCATGAAATATAGACACTTCTAACCTGTGCCACATAAACTTTGGATGTTTTATTACAACTATTGGGCTCTGTTGTACAACCCCAGTTCTAAAACAGTTGGGACGCTGTGCAGAATGTAAATAAAAATATAATGCAACGATATGCAAATCATGTAAACCATATTTTTAAAAGAAAATAAAGGACACTTTTCCACTTCCCCTCAGTCCATTTAAAATGAGCTCGGGCCCAGAGAAGGCGGCAGTGTTTCTGGATCCTGTTTATATTTGGTTTCTTCTTTGTGTTTTAGAGTTTTAACTTGCATTTGTGGATGCAGTGATGAACTGTTTTCGTAGACGATTGTTTTCAGAAGTGTTTCTGAGCCCATGCAGTGATTTCCACTACAGAATCATGTCTGTTTTTAATGCAGTGCTGCCTGAGGGTCCAAAGATCATGGACAGCAAATTCTGGTTTTTGGGCCTTGTCCCTTGCATACAGAGATTTCTCCAGATTCTCTGAATCTTTTAATGTTATTATGTACCATAGATGATGAAATGTCTTTGCTGTTTTACAGTGAAAAACATTATTCTTGAATTGTTGCACTATTTGTTCATGCAGTCTTTCACAGAGTGGTGAACTCCTCCTCATCTTTACTTCTGAAAGACTCTCTGAGATGCTTTTCTATACCCAATCATGTTACTGACCTGCTGCCAATCAACCACCAGGTGTTTTTTTTAGCATTACACAACTTTACCAGCCTTTTGTTTTCCCCCATGTTTTTGGAACATGTTGTTGGCATCAAATTCAAAATGGGCAAATATTTTTCAAAAACCAATCAAATTTCTCAGTTTCAACATTTGATATGTTGTCTTTGTACTATTTTCAAAGAAAAATATGGTGTAAATGATGCAGGTTATTGCATTTTGTTTTGTTTTTTTTTAATTTTGCACAGCGTCCCAACTTTTTTTGAAACGGGGTTGTACATTAAATGGCCTAAAATATCAGCAATTTGGTAAACCATTATTTGGAAGGACTGTACATGCTTTGCAGATGCTTACTTTATTCTTAACATACACTCAACTAAATATCTATTAAAATGAACCTTATCTTTATCCTCCCTAGACTCAACCTTAACCCTAACCCTAGCCCTATCCCAGGTTATACTCCCAATCCTAACCTAAATGCTATTGAAAATCAATTAAATTTTGCCACAGAAGGACAGATCCAAAAACGTTTTGCCTGGTTGCAAACGCTTTTTTTAAAAAGTGACTCACAATTTACTACACAGACACAAAGGCCCTTTAGCACCCATTATAAGATCAAAGGGGCGGTAAATACAGACTTCATGATCATGTGCACTATTTAATGCCTGTGAAATCTTTGAATAAGATACAAAATAATCTTTGTATTTTTACTTAGAAATAAATGACATTTTCTTACTATCTCTAAGTAATTAGACTTTCTCAAAGAGCAATAAGTCACTGAGTGCGTTTACATGCAATTAATAATCAGATAACTGCCGAAAATCAGATTTTGTCGGTAATCCGATCAACACATTTACATGCACCTGAGGAATCAGATAATGGGAAACTCCAGGTCTACTTGAGTCAGACAGTAATCAGATTTTTGCTTTGCAACCAGTCAATAAACTCACAGAAGAAGACATAACTTAATGCAGAACTAAATATTAAATATCACACCACTTTACCTGAAAATATGAACATACATCATCTAGAATATGAAGAATATTGAAATCCTTCATTTTGCATACAATGTAGTTGGTTTTAGTGTCGCTCCAAAAGTGTTTTGCTGCCATTTCCTGGCAATACTGTCTGCTTATTTCCGTTACCGCGGTCAGTTTCCGCACATGCGAAGACTGAGAAATACGAAAGAAATCAGAGTAAGAGTTTACATGCACTGAGAAATCTGATTACTGAGCTGAAAACAGGGGTTTATATTGCACTGGTCATATGTTAACCTGTGTTCATTCGCAAAAAGTTCTTAGATAACTTGCTAAGTTGGCCGCCTCCACCAGTACAAACTGTAGACCTTTGGTAGTGCCTCTTTCAGTAAATCTGAACCATAGTTAATTTAATTTTACCATCTGTAGATTATCTACAGGGCCCTATCCAAATAAAAGGGGCCTGCTATTTGCCCTGGTGGCTACTCCAGAGAAGTTCTAGTCTTCAGGTTATGTTGTTTTTCCTTATGTTTTTGGGTACAACTGAGCAAGACAGTGTAGATAACAGTGTCTGCTAAATGAATACATGCAAACAGGAAGCCTTTTGCTAGCATGACAGTCACTCTTGCACAGATAACAGCCCAGGACAGCAATTATCATCAATTTAAATCCACTTTAGAAGCTTTCTTGGGTTGCACAACCTCCATAAGCATTATGAAAGATGAAGTGTCTGTGCTTGTACAGAAAGTGTGAGTTACAGGTCAGTGTAATATACTGAGAATCCTCCAAGCGAATCGCTCTAAAAGCTGTGAACTGTAGCGGAGAAAGGTGTGTTTTATGACTGCCTTTAAAGTAAATACAGCATAAGAGCTTCTAATGGAGTCACACTTCAGATCAGACACTCACACGGAGATTCAGGCTGTCCAAAAGAGGGGTGTTAAATTATATATACAGATGGCAGCCAAGGAATAGGCTGTCTTAGGTGAGGTGTGACTATGAAACCCAGGCAAAAGACATACATAAATACTCCCTAGTTATTAGCAGATAACTGCTGAGGTTAAGTATAAAACACTTAACATGTTAAGATGTCTTCATTTTAGCAAGTAATCTAGGATGAACAGTCTCATTACTCTAAGCAACAGACATTATCTTGTACTCATTATGATTAAACACTTCAATCGCCCACCAAAAGTGTGTAGGCTGCTTATTTCCAAGCGGCTCTTGAAAGAAAATGGGTTTTAGAAGATTATGGGTTTGTCGCCAATGGATTAAACCCTGTCTTGGACAAAACTGTAACGACAGTAGTGTTTTGACCATTACAAATCCTCTTTAGTCTCAGCTTTGGCTCAGTCTGGGAGTGGGAAACCGACCCTATATATATATATATATATATATATATATATATATATATATATATATATATATATAAGATGTTGAATAAAATAGATGGTATATTTACGGACAAAAAAAGAACAAATAACACCAATAAGCTGCTGGTGCTCTCAGAACATTGGAACTGGCCACTCCAGAGTCCACATCACTGAATGTGTTTGGGATCATTTGGATTGTAAGAAACAGAAAATGCAACCACTTTCTGAGACTGAACTTTGGAAATGTGGAAAAATATCCATGCAGATCTCTTTGAAAAATGGAAAAAGCAAGTCTGCTGAAAAGAACAGAAGCTGTAATAAAGGTAAAAGGTGGATAAACTAAATACTCAAAATGTTGATATTTAGTTATTGAGTCTTCTGTGTAATTTTCTGTTAAATCAGACTTTTCCCTTCCAGTGAAAAAGGAATAACTTCACAGCCTTTTGACTCAAAGTGAAAAGTCTCTCACTGTTGCACAGAACTGTATATATTACAGTGTTCCCTTTTTATGGCCCTACAGTTGCCTTGCCTCAAGTTATTAATGAAAAGATGCTTAAAATATCAATAAAGACCAAACTGTGCTTCACAAAACCTCCTAAACTGCTATACATTCTGATCTCCTGTCTTGCTGTATTGCTGTCTTGGCACTGGGAGTGCTTTCAGTAAAACAGCCCTGAATGTACGGACACGCCCACTCTTTCTCTTACCCAGACACATCCGTGACCTACTGCTGGCATGTCTGCTGTGCTTTCACTGTTAACATGGGGCTCTGGGTTATGGACGGCGCACTCCACCTAAGACACACAAACACAAACACACATTCATCTCTTCATCCAGTTTCTCAACCAAATCCAGCATATTTTTAAACTGGCAAGCAAACTGTTTTGTATACCAACAAAAATAATGATGTGCAAGTATGATTTTGCTACAGCAGTAAGTTTTAGAGCAGAGGTCTCAAAACAGTCTTGGAGGTCTTAGCAAAGACGTTTAGCAGTTTTATCTTAACACATTTGACTCAACTCATCAGATAATTACCAAAGCTTCATGAGCTGAATGTCCTGTGGAAAAATCTCCAGCAGCTTGTGTTCCATACTAATTTTAGAGCAAAGAAAGATCCGGCACTGTCTGTACATATCTACTGTTTATACAGTCTACTGATAGTTACTTACTATAATACCATTATCCAATATTGTCAACATGACTAAAAGGGGACCTTCGTGCTTTTCTGGTTTCCTCCCTTTCCTTTAGTGCAGTGGTGTCAAACTCAACCACTAAAAGAGCCATGTTAAAAAATCTCTGCAAATCAGTGGGCCAACTGTGTTTTTATTTCATTTTTACTTAACATTTTGCCATGACCCCAACTGGCCATTGTTTATTCAAAATATGCAAAACTACAACAGCAAAATAGGCACTGAAAACCAATTCAAAAATAATTCTAAGTAAAAATAAATAGTTTTAGGTATTTTTTAAACTGCCTATTTGCTTGAATTAGACACCAGGCATCTAAACCTTTGTGTAAACTGCTGGCCCATAGATTGTTGCTGGGGGAAGGGGGTCAGAACACTCATGTTGCAGTGCGTGCTGGGAACTACAGTACAGCTCTGGATGAATCAGGCTAATAATAATAATAATAGAGAATTAAAATCATTTTGCGGGTCGAATTGGACTGTGTTTGTGTTTGACTTTCAGAATCTGATATGGCAGAACCAATACTTTTAAAAAAAAAGCCACACCGGCATTTACAGCTGCTTAGGATAGATGGGTCTGTCTGCAGACTACAAGACAGGGACATGTAGGGGCGGGAAAACTATGGCAGTCGACCAATCAGAACAGAGTGGTCGGGCTGACCAATCAGCGCACACTGGACTCATCGGGACGTGGGGCTTAAAGACATACAGTATGAAAAAAAAACACAAATGATACTATTACCTACTAAAGATTATGGCTGGATATCGCTCAAAATGTTTCAGCACTGAAACCAACACAGGTACCTTCACTTTTATATGATCCTTTTTTTTTTAAAAGCTTCTTTTGACTAACAGACTGAAGGTGGGCGTGGCCTAAATTTGAAATGGGCATACAGTGCTGGTCTGGGTATATTGAAATGCAACAGATAACAGGCTAGTCAAGAAGTGCTGACATTAATAACATGCAAACAGGCTGTAATTCGGAAAACAACCAATCTAGATTTTGAACCAGACAGATGTTAAAGAACTGACTATAATACTTATGTATTATGAATTTGGTACTGAATGACTTTTTTCTTTAAATACTTGGATAGTATTGAAATATTCATTCGGTACCACAGAAGTGTTGAATTTAGATACTCAGCTCTACAGACAACATCAGTTGTAGTAACACAAATGCTAAGATTTCACTGTACCTTATGATTATTACTGATTGATATTGTTGGTTTAATATATGAGGCATTTGACAGGTGCAGTTAGTCTTACCTTAAACTCCTGCAGTCTGGACATGACCACAGGCAGGTGCTTCAGCAGGAGAGGATGCTTCTGTTTCTTTATCTGATTACTATCATCTTCAGCAAAGAACCAGCCCTGCAAGTTGTCCTCCTCTGTAACACATACAAGCAGACAGACCACATGAATTTCCACATCATTGTAAACCCTCTTTTCTCATATTAAGTCTTGTGCTCAGTCAATGAACCAGTTAAATGGGGACGCAGCACTGCTACACTAATGAAAACCTCAGAACCTAATGGGCACATTAAGGAATGTACACATTAAGGCCTGACTGCCCTGTTAAAGGGAAATCATACTGAATCATGCTGAAATATTTCTATTGATTGTCAGTCGCTGATACACAGAGAGAAAAGCATAGCAAAAACAGTTTCCTGGGTTTCATTCTTTCAATTTATTAAGATGCATTTTCCAGAGAGTCTAAAAATTGCTTCCATTTGCCTTTTTTGCCTCAAAGCCAGGAAGCAGGAGTGCTCTGTCTTCCAAAAAATGTAATGGTTGCAAAAGCTCTTTTTCTTACAATCAGTACGTCGAGTATAATATGTTTTCATTGAAAGGCATCAGAGTAGAGTATCTGGACAGTTCTGAACCAGCCTGAGTTCCCCACAGATAAATAAGACCAATGTTCGCAGCACAGCCAGCAGAACACTGAAAGTCTGGCACAATCGCCTGAGCTTAGTTTTTAAAAAGTCTTCTGAGCAGACTTTGGCTTCTGGACTGGATTAGGTCCTGAAATCACCCTATTTCGGGGCCCTGTTTGAGGACTGAATCCAATCCAAAGTACATCTCAAATCCAATATGAAGTTCTGCAAAAATGTCTGGATGCTAGAAGGTAGTGAGATTGCGCAGTCCAGGGCTCAGCCTGGCACAATCAGCAGGACCCAGCTTTTCAAAAAAATCACGGGATTAGATTTTTGCCTCTGGATTGGATTGAGTCAGGAAATCTGCCCCAGTGAGGATCGAATCCATTCCAAACTAAATCAGAAATTGAACGAGATCTGCAAAAAATTTGTGGATACTAGACGGCGGTGAAATAGCAGAGTAAACGAAGAGTAAACCACTTTGGATTGAAATTTTATAAATGAAAATTAAGTGCTTTCCCTCTTAGAGGATACTGTTGAGCTCTGGGGCACTATCATGGTTTCCCGTCCTGGCTCCACCTTCATCCCGGCTACTTATTAGAGATCCCACCCATGTATGTTTGTTATCCCTACTTCCAGGTGTTTTTAGTCTTGTCTGTTTCTCTCTACAGTCCTCATGTTTCTCAGTGCCAATGTGTTTGTCACCTCTGTGTCTAGTCTTGTTCTCACACTATGTTTGCTTTAATATACATCCTTCTTCTATGCCTTTCCATTTGTGACATAGATGACAGGGAGGCAGAGCTAGGGTGACGAGACAAACTAGACATGGACCCTATGTGGGAAAATTATGAAAGGCACAAGTCCTTTTCCAATAGATAGCAGGCAGAGGGAACTCTTAGTGCCTCTGACATGAAAGGTCAAAAATCTTGAAATGGCAAAACGAAAATTATCCGAACTAGAAATTTTGCGTTAATTAGATAAATACAGCCAGGCTTTCTCAACTATTAGGCCTTCAGGAGCTGGACAGTAGGCCTTACGGGTTCAACTAGCTACCAACAAGTCTTTTGTGACTTTTACTGAAGGAGTCACTGTAAAACTGTTTATGTATATGTTGATGTCTGTAATGCTGCGTACACATGAAAAACCTGTCATTACACACCTCAGAGCAAGACGCGGCCGATGGCTGCATGACGCTACGCAGTTGTTGCCATGGTGACCATGGTGCCAGTGAAAATGGAAGGCTATTAGAGGAGAGCTTTATCAGTGTACTATGTTTTATTTAAGGTGGAAAAAGGCAAGAGGCTGCTCTGTACTCTTTCATTTCTATAGTACAACACTGAGTTTGTCTGGAATTCAATGAGGAGATGCTTGCCGTCCATGTCTTCCAGAAAATCAACATCTGGTTAATTCCACTGCTGTGGTTGACGGCAATGGTTGGAATAATTGAACTCTTGATGTAGCGCTCTGCTTACTGCTGCGGTCTGCAGAATGTTGTCGCTTACAGTGGCAGAATTTTCCACTACAGCTCTATTGAAAACAATGGAATATCTGGTTTGCTGTCGTCTGCCTACCACAAACATGTGAACGCAGCATTACAACCTTCACATAAAATATGGGGAATGTCTTTTAGAAGCTTCAAATGTCCATGTTTAAGTTAGAGCTGCCATAAACTGCACATGTGCACTGCTGGCCGCTTGGTACTAACACAACATTACAAATCCCTTAGGGCAAATCAGCATTGTCACAGTGGTCTGGTCTTCAGGTAATCTGAAAAACATGGGCTTTGCATAAAGCAAACAGGTTTCTGCATTACACACTGCTCTGTAATGTCATATTCTCGCTTCAGAATGACACTTGACACTGGATACCTACATGATATTTTCACAGCAGAATAAGTGATGCCCTGTACTCTTATTTCTTTGTTTTTCTTTTCAGTTTTGATTTTCAGTCTGAACTGAAGGCCTGGTTCTAATAGTCATGGTTCACTACTGATAGCAGGAGGTGTGTGACACTTTCAACGAAAATACAACTAGCCACCATTACATCATTGCTGAACACTGACAGCACAGCATAGAATAAAAACGTTTTTTATTGTCTTTAGAGCTCATAGCACTGGTCAACAGTATTGAGGGGGATTTGAGAAGCACAGCTGTGTGGAATTCTCATAAAGGAATTGGAGGAAGAGGAATGGGATCTGGACCCTGCACAGACAAAGACAGGAAACTGCAGAGAGGAGCACAGGACACGTACCCAGAGCCAGCTTGGCCATCTGCAGGTTGCTGATCCACGCCTGTTTGATGGAAGGGCTGAACGTGTTGAAAACTGCAGTGAAGAACGTGGGTCTGCCTGACCTACAGAGAGAGACAAACATGGGTCAGGAATGAAACCAATCTGATCATTTATCATTAGTTTGGGTGGAACATTTGAAATGTGCTAGCTAGCACACAGGGACCATCCTCTGAGCCAAACCACTTGCTTAGTCTGATTTTCTTAGAAGGCCCATATCATGGAATTTACCTTGCTTTGTTTAAGTTAAAGAGTTCAATGTACTTTGTAAACAGTTTTGTAAACACGATCATGAAAGTTTTAACTGATGACTGTCATGTAAATAATTACGGTTAATGATTTGTCTTTTCTAGTTCACTGGGCCTCTTTCACCAATATCTTCTAAGAAAAAGTCTACGTCAGATTCATGACGTGCTTTTGAAGCACAGAATTGCTCACATCTTTGTGCTCTTGAGTGTGTGTGGATTCTGTTCTTACCTAAGAACAAATCCCAAATAACAAAACACTGAAAAATGTCAGAATCTTCGCCAAAACTGTGAGTTTTAAGAAGAAATTTCTTCTTAAGAAATGTTGGTGAATGAGGCCCATTATGTGCAACTATTAAAATACATGCCTAAAGTGGCCATACTGGCCGATTAACCATCGTACTCGCTAGCTTTGTTCAGTAGCTAACACTGGTCTTACTATCAAATCAATACTGTGTGTCTAAGTCACACATGTAGAGTTGAGCAAAGCTGCATGTTCTTTACAAACATGAATATAAAAGCAACAAAAAAAACACTTGTTCCGTTAGGATATATGTTTAAACCAAAAAAAAGAAGAAATACATAGCCAACAAATCAAGAAACATTAATGAGCACTGCTCTATGAGTGAGAACTTTTTTGTTTTCATAATACCTGTGATGTCTCAATAAATCTGCTTAATACTTTTGAATTTGTAAAGACACCTGAAGACACTCCACCCTGCAGCGTCTGCCAAGGTAAATATTAATTATGGATGTTGACTGGTTTGCAAACATGACTTTACGTGTCATATTGATTACTCTGGCTTTGGAAGTGACATTCAGCCATTCATTTTAAATGATTCATGAAAGAAGTCAGGAACACTTTCTCAGCCTAGATGACTAAAGACATAGTTAAGGTATGCTTACTTCTCATTGAATTCCTTTACAGCCAGGAGAAATATCCTTCAGCAAAATCCATTACAGTATATATTCTCTGTCTGAGAAAATTAGGACTAAAACATGGTCTAAGATTAGCCAGCTCCACTAAAACCTAAAATGTGACTTTAACTATAATTTTCAGTATATGACTACAACTAAAACTAAATTTCAAATTCCTGTCAAAATTAACAACGACTGTGAGCAGTTTTGGCTCTAACTTTCTCTAGAATGGAGTATTTCACATCAGTCTGAATGTGTTTACATGTTGACAGTTTAATTATGCAGAATTTGGAAAAATTGGTGCAACCACTAAGGGATAAGGAGGAGAGACTGAAAGACTGTTGGGGTATTTTTGTACATAATGTTTGAGTGGTTTTATAAGTGAACTTCAGTGGGGGAAAAAATACAGGAAAAATGTAGAATATGGGCCTTTAATATCCGGCAAGACTGGCTCAAGGCAGCAAGGAAGAAACCAGCAGCTACTCAGACAGCTGGAGAATCACACAGCCTGACTTTTCCTGTTTATCAGTGACACAGAAGGAAATGATGCAATACCTCAGAGGTCTGGCCAAGGCCTGTGACATCAGCTGTGCAGGGTCGCCAATATGCCACACTTACTAAGAGGCTGATATACTCTGATTTGTCCAACAGTGGAAATGGAGATGCACTCGATGTGCGATTTAAACAGGTTTTGGATGTTTTATAAGGATCTTTTGTTTTTTTCCACTAAAGACATGTAAGTCGAGGAATGGAATCCAGAACCCAAAGAGAGTGAATTGGAGAAGCCTGCAGTTCAGTCATGACATCGAGACGACTGAGCGAGAATGTGTGCGATTTATTTTGGCCAGAGGGATCAGTGAGGGGTGAGAGCACCACAGCTGCGAGGCTGAAGAAGATCCTGAATAATCCAGACCCTCAAATCAGAGAACGCCACCAAAACCCTCACAAAATAAACAGTGTGGGAGAAAGTGTGGGTGTCTATGCATGGAGCGAGTGTGTCTATGTGTTAGAGTGAGAGCTGCGACTCCTATGCAAATTGATCCAAAAAAGGGGGGGCATTGGAACGTCTCTAAGCACTGATGAGGGGAATAAGATGTTGAATTTGAAGTCAGTGAGTCACCTTACCACAGATGCACTGGGGTACTGGCCTCAGAATGATCAAATGGTGCAGGGAATTCAACACAAATACAAACGTGTATCACAACCACACAACATGATTTTTTAAAGATACTAATAATTTGTGCAGTTTTGTGTTTTCATGCTATGAAAAGTAATGCCACCAACTTTTTCGTCATTAAACATGCAATCCGGTGGCAATTCCTTGACTGATACATGACATTATTTGAATTTTCAGTGTACATGGGGGCGTGGCCTATGTACATCTTTAAGATGTTTACAGAGTCATTCAGAGTGTTTTGGTATGAAATGTTCCATTCTAGAGAAACTTAGGCTATGTTCACATTACAAGCCTCATTGCTCAAATCCGATCTCTCTGACATGATGGTTCACACTAGTTTAGGTAAGTGATTCAAATCCGATTAGTCATTAATGTGAACAAACGACGTCCTGAAATGAACCGCATGTGCATGTCCTACTCAGTAACGTCACGTGAATGAATCACGTGCATCATCAGCAAACAAACTAATGAGCAGAACGAGCTTCGCTGTGAAGATAATTAACTCTGATCAGCTCTCAGCTCTGCTTGACGCTGATGCCATGGTAACGCTGAATGATGGCGCATGCGCAGCGGAAAAAAAGCACATGAATTCCAATCTGAGCGTCACATTAAGGTCTCATTGCCACAAATCGGATACGTATCCGATCTAGAACCACGTATGAAAGTGACTCAGGTCGGATTTGAAAAGATCAGATTTGCGTGTCCGCACAGTTTTGAAAACATCAGATCTGAGTCATATTAGGGCAAAAAATCAGATTTGTGCCACTTCAACCTGGTAACGTGAACAGAGCCTTAGCAGAATGTTCACAGTGGTGGTGATAGGAACCAGACGTCTGAAGAGTTTAATGCCTATAAAAGCTCCCTCACAGAAAGTTATTGCATGAAATGATTATGCTGATATATGGCAAAACAGAACCCAAAGATGATTTTTTTAACAGATATTAACATCAGCGATAAAACACGCACAGTAGGCTCACTGGTGGTTCTGGATACACAGCAAAAATGGAATCTTGGCAAGTGAAATTATCGTTAACATCTGAATTATCTAGTTGACATATATGATTTTAGTAAGTCAGATTATCTCACTATATTGGATAATTTTGCTTGTTCTAAGAAATGTGCTTGAAATAAGTAAAATTATCTGCCAATATCATAATAATTGGGATCATTTTACTTACCTAAACCACAAGGTAAGTAAAAAATGTCTAGGAATAAGTTAAAGAATCCTATAGTAAGCTTAAAATAATGTAAAAATGAGAAATATTAGATATATCAACTAGATTTCAGAACATTTGCCTTGCCAAGACACCATTTCTTGAGGTGTAGTGAGTAAAACGGCTATATTTATATTCCTATCACTACCACTGTAAAGAAATCCGAGTCAATGCAATGAAGCATCTCACATCAAACCGCTCTGAATGACTCTGTTTACATCACAATGACTGAATGATGCAGAAATCTTGAAAAATCAGAGGAGGTCCCCAAGCTAGCGAGATGTTTAGGATAAACAAAAATCACAGTTAAATTAAATGTCGTTTTTGACTTGTGAGCTGTCAGACGTGTTGCCTATGGAACCTTTTGGTGTTAAGGCAGTGTGTAAATTGAATAGCCACTCCTGTCCAAATAGTATTCAATTCTGTGTGTGGTCATAAGGTTACTGAGTGGTCATACATACTTGTCCTGTTTCCCCGGTAACTGTAGCTGGATACGGCAGCGGTCTGCAGCCCTGATCTCCTCTTCTTTCTTAAGGATGAGACGCTGAAGGCCTGAGACCCAGTCCTGTGCTACTGCCCCATTCACATTCTACACAGACACACAGTGAGAAAGAGAGGAACATGAACACAACCTTGAAATCAGCGACGCACAAAATATTGTTCCTTAAACATCATCACAACATTGGAATACTTACTATAGAAGTGGGCAGCATGCAAATGAGCCCCTAACCAAACTAGTGAATGTTTTACTGTGAGCTGTGAACATCCTGACCAATCACAGATGTGCTTTAGGTGTTAGGACGAATCAATACATGTCAATATATCATAATATCTGTCAATAAAGTGTGTAACGATACACAAAATCTTTAATTTGGTTCAATACAGTTTTCAATACAGCAAAAATTGGGAGTTTCAAGGATTTTATTGACCACTGCGTCTCCAGATTATGGCTGAAATATCCGGTTAGGGAACGGAAGTGTCGTTTCTTACTGGTTTTAGTGAAGTCAAACAATGTGTGCTTACTTTTTACGTTATTGGGCCTCATTCACCAACCACTCTTAGGAAGAAATTTCTTCTTAAAACCCACTTACACAGTTTTCATTAAGACATTCAGTGTTTTCTTATTCGGGATTTGTTTTTAGGTAAGAACAGAATCTACACACAAGAGCACAAAGGTGTGAACAATTCTGCAGTTTAACAACACGTCATGAATCTGACGTCGACTTTTTCCTAGGACCTTTCTTAAGAACAAATTTAAGAAGATATTGGAGAATGAGGCCCATTGCTTTCTCCCATTTAACGTCTCAGAGGTGTTTCTGGGACAATGTGCAGTTTGTGGAGCCCACTAAACTCAAGTAAAAATGAAAGTAGGGCAGAGCTTTAGCAGACATGTGAATGTAGCTTCACAATGACTCAATAAAAAAGCCCAGTGGTCAACACTGAAATCTCTGCCCACAAAATGCAACAAGATGATGATTTGCCGCTTTTTCTTCTCTTTATAACCGGCTATTTTCTGCCCACTAGATCAGGCTGAGCAGGTCAACAGAAAGCTAAACAACTAACAGGCTAACAGACCAGTCATAGAAAACAGGCTTCAAGTTCAAGCCTTTAAAGATGGACACTTTAAGGCTGAGACATTAAAAATGTTACCTGTATGCTTGTTAAAGTGTCTGTATTTAAACTAGAGCTGACCTCAAAAATTCAATATAGCGCTGAGCTAGTCCCACTAGGTTGACGAGGAGCCTTATCGAAAAACAGATTTCTGCATTAGACATTGCTGTTTAATACCACTGCTTTACAGTTCTCTGCCTGCACCTGACTGATAGCATAGACTACAAATAGGATCCTCTGACTAAAGTGTTTCTCTCACACAGGTTCAGGGTTCTGCTGAAAGATCAATTACAAACTTTGGCACAGAAGCATTCGAGCGTCCCAACAATCAATTTCATTTTCTCCCACATTTCTTTCATGTTAGGATATTGTAAGCAATTTAATGTACTGTCTGGTAAGCTTGGCTGCAAGTTCCATCCATAAGTCACTCAGAGCATCATGGGGTGCAGGAATGTGGTGGATAGTATCCCAGTCTAATGTTCTAGCTAAGCTAACCAACCACCAACAAGCTAATATGGTAGCCACAATACAACGATACAATATGATAGAATACAATACGATACAATACAATGCAATATGATACAATATGTGTGTTGTTATATATCTAGTAGCAATATAACTGATATATGTTGAACATATGAGAACATTGAACGGCAGCATACATTTTGTCCTCAAAACGTACTCTTTCCACTGCTAGCGTTATAGTTAGCTCCAACTGGAATTGCCCATCTGAGCACACTTTTGACTCCTATTTTGCGATTTTTGTCACAAAAAGGTAAAATCCGTGACTTTCTCCCAGCAACTCCTTTTAACAGTGGTGTAATCACGAGCCACACAGTTACAGACATGAATCAACAACGTCATTTTAAGCAGTACTTTCTATAAGAACATTATGGTGCATATCTGACCTGATAGTTGCCTTTAAGGCTGCCGATCATGGTGGAGATTTGATTGACCAGGCCCAGGTCATGGATGAGGTTCTGCAGGTCCTGATACAGCTGGCCTGGACCCACATACAACTTATCTGCATTAAAAAAAAAGATACAGGTTTGATTAAAGGCACACTCCGATTTTAGAATGAGAAGACAGTTTGCTCATATGAACAGCTCATATGAATTAATGCACTGTGATTACAAAACGACAAATTTTGACTTGTTTTTAACAACATAGAAAAAGAAGATGCAGTCTTGACTAAAGCTATACAGTGTGATTTTATGGGAGGTCAATGTCTGCAGTAAAGATGCCATCTATTTTTGGTCCTCCATTCCTGTGCACTCCTTTCTATTTGTTTCACAAACGTTATGCACATTTACGAAATTTGGGCAGAAACAAATGTGAATTAAGTTTCCATCCATTACAGTCATGCAAAGAAACTTTAGATGATGTAGGCAACCATGTTTAGGGGCAGAATTGAAACAAGCAAGAGGGAGAGATTTAACTCTGTTTTTGCTTTAAGCAGAATGATCTTTATGGCCATGCAGCATCTTTTTATAGTGCTGTTTGCAGCTCAGAGACGCCAGGCAGGACAAGCAATGGCCCACCTAATGAGGGCTGTATCCCCATCCCACCCCAACAATGTCCGCCTTGCATCTGGAAATGCAAAGGCAACAACACAATCCTGAGAGCAAATAGTGCAGAGCCATTTTTCAAACAAGTTTTGGATCAGGTACTTCAGTTTATTTGAAAAACCCTTTTCCATCTCCTTTTTTGCCTTTCGACTTTAGCAAAACTTTTCCACTTCAATCTAGTATAAAACTTTGGCCGTTTTTTCCAATTTCAGGCTTTCCATCTTTTTTTCCTTGTACATTTTCAAAAAGTTGCAAAAAATTGGTGGATCGCCAGATTTGCCGCCCTTTGCCGTCCTTTGTATCCCCAGCATTGCGTCCCCTGGTTTGCTGTCCTTTCACTCCTTTCACAAGCTAATGTTATTGTCTATTCTATGATATTGTCTGTTCAAAGTGATTTATTTACACTTACAAGAGCTTCAACATCATAATCACTACAACTGGATCTGAGTATTCCACCTCATTAACATGCTGCATGAAAGCCTGTAAAAATGTGCTTAGACAGAAAAATAAATCCTGTCAATCTGAAAAGAGACTGGACTGCAGTGAATGGTGGTCAATCCACATTTACAGTGGGTTACAGTACATTAGAATACTTACACTACGCTACGCAGTAAGACTACATTTCATACACTGACACGTCTGCTTTGGTCATTGATTACTGTGAACTTTCATTTTGCAAAGCTGCAGATTTGGCCAGGTGTCTATTCCAAGACAAAGGACTGCATTATATGGGTTTCTCTTCTTCCAAATGAGAGAGAAGTAAGAGAATGAGAGAATAAGACTGCTGGAGGCAGCTGGCTGTTGGCTGGTGCGTCGTCTTTTTTCTCTCTGACTGAACTGCAGTAAATTGTCTCACACTGTGTTCTTAAGGGAACACTGGACAGTTTATCTCCTTAAATGGACAGACAGACACACACACACACACACTTGTACACTTAAGGTCAAAAGTTTGTAAGCAATACACACTTGCATAAATAAATATGCAAATTGTATTGTTTCCAAGCAAGTGCAGAGCAATTTTTTGTTAACAGAGAATGACAGGGATTGACCGAACCTCTGCAGCTCTGGTCATTCTCCTGCAAGAAGTAATTCTGGTGTAAAGGTTTTTGTCTCAGACTTATGGCGTCATATCCAATTCAAAATTTGCAAGCGAGCAAAAACGCTCTCACATGAGGAAAACTAGTCTTGCGCGTGAGGAAAACCCCTCGTTCACGCGAAGAGAACTACTAGTGCAAGGATACCACACTCATGTGCACGAAGGCAACTACTCGCATGAGGAAAACCACCCTAGATAGAATGTAAATAGAATTCAGTAATTACGGGCAGCGTTTCGGCTAATGTCATTGTACTGGCGGACCATGAAGGTCATCTTCTAGTCTGAAAGTCCTGTTCCCGGTTTTTTATATGCAGCAAAAGCTCTGACAACCAATGACAGCCAGCCAATCACAACACTGTTACAGGAATCAACAGTAATCAATCATATGTCGGGACCCGCCCACAGCAGTCAAAAATGAATGAAACTCTTGCGCGAGCAGAAGCTTAATAGCAAGCAGAAAGAACAGTCGAGTGTCAGGCAAATTTTCCTCACACATGCAACTCTGCAACTCTGCAACTCCCGCAGTAGTTGTCTAGTTGCTCGCTTGTGTATTTTGAATCGGATTTGACGCCTCACAGACTCAAATGCTTGTTTATCAATAGGGGTCAGCTCAAAAACTGGTGGATTCGTATGATAATTCCATTCATTTCTTAATTCTGACATGTTGTATCTACTATAGATTTAACTATCGGAGTAAATTAGAAGGTAGTTATTGCTGCATTACAGTCACTCCCACTCAGGTTTTTGGGTTTTAGGAACATGACTGAGAAGGCCGAGATAGTGCAGCTGCCAAATGCTCCAGCTGCAGTTAACTAAAAGAAATGAAAAGATATTTCTCTGTTACGTATTTTAAATTGGGAAACTAAAATGTTGGCAGATCATCCACTGAAGAGAGAGACTAGTATAGAATGCTGAACAGCACTGTCTATCGCTGCACTGGTTCGCTCTAGTGTTAGTGTTAACTCATTAGCTTATCTAAAGCAGCCTCCACTACTCAAGACTTTTCCAAATGTACACACTTAAGACAGATGGTTCTTCGGGTTTCTTTACTAAAGAAAATGGCTCTGTATTGAACCATGAATGCTCAAAGAACCCTTTGCATGCTTAAATAGTTCTTTGCATCGAGAAAGTGTTCTTCAGATGGATGGAGACTGTGCTGTAGATGGTTCTATACAGAACCTTCTTGAAAGGGGTTCTCTATAGTACCAAAAAGGGCTTTCACTATTGTTACAAGCCAAAGAACCCTTTTTTGCGGCGATATAGAACCTTTTTTTGCATTCTCCATCAATCTGAAGAATCATTTCACGATACAAAGAACCTTCTTTTTAAAGAGTGTACACTCTTAAAAAGATGGTTCTTCAAGGGTTCTTTAGTAAAGAAAATGGTTCTATATAGGGGCGAGGGGTGAAATGGGATTGGGCCTTACACTTACCATTACCACTCCATGTCATCCTCTAACTAACATCTAACTTCAATTATGCACAAGAATCAGCATGGTGACCAGCATGGTGACCAGCATGGTGACCAGCATGTGTGCTGTTAACTGGCTGTTAAAACAGAACAAACAGTGTTAATGTGGCGTTCACTTTTGCATGGCTGCTCTGCAGAAGGCTTTAAAGCTGCCCAGGCAGCACTTCCCTGGCTACTGAATCAATGCCTCTCCATTTCACTAAGACAGCACCAATAACAGTTACACAGAGCAGCGCAGTCCACCCATGGCACACACTGTCAGCCCTCTTCAACACTGACTCTGATTATCAGAGCTGCTGTCTGTGTGAGAGTCAAGGACCGATGAATTGAACTCTTATCATATATACACGGTTCATTCTGTCTCCTCTGTGGGAGCAAATGAAGGGTGTAATGTGCTGGAATGTTTGAAATCACTTATGTTCATACTTTTTGTTATTTTAGATATAATTATACTAACTACGTAAATGTTAATATTATAAATCAGACACCAAAGACATGGTAAGATGTTATATTCAAAAGAAGTTATTAAAGGATTAAGAATACTGTAGTTAGATCAATAACATGATGGCCCAAACTTTTTTGGTAAATAATTTAATAAATACCTGACATACAGTCATGCGCTAAAGTTTGAACACCTCTGGTCAAATTCCATGTTTTGTTGATTTTCCAGATAAACATAAGTCAACACATGCTCTATAGAGAAAAAGCATAAATATGGCATTTTTTCTGAAAACTGTGGTGCACAATTTCTATTTATATGCTTAGTTTAACACACTGAAAACAAAAAATACATACGAACGTGCCATAACTTTTACACAGGTCGCATTTTATGTTTAATTTTTTTCCCAATTTGTTAAATTCAGCAGTAAACAGTAGAGGATGTGTACTTATTGTCACAAAACAATTTTTTACTATTGTTTTACCGGGGTACCCAAACTTTTGCACAAGACTGTGTGTTCAACACCTTCTTTATGTGAACATATTTTCAGTGCATGATAATAAACTTTTTTTCAGGCATTTATTCCTCCCAAAGGCTAAAGATGTCACATGGTGCGACCAAATGCACAGTAAGTAAACTGTTAATAAGGGGAATTTAGTCGTACACATTTCTGAAAAATAGTTTGGCCCAATCTGATGTTTGACACCTTTAAAATCATAACATGTTGCAAAAACAGAGTCTAAAAGCATTCAAGAAATATTTTGTCTGAATTCTGATATCCTCAAATGTCAGGTGGCTGCAGCGTCTTATTTTCAGAGTAGTAATATTAATGATTCTGTTTAGAATTAAAATGATACAATTAAGCTATGAAACAAATAACACACTGAATAGATTAACATTTTTAAAAGAAATATTTGTAATTGTCTATTTTAAAAGCCATATTTGTCATCCGCCCATATAGATTTTTCCAAAGATCATTTTATTTTATATATACATAAAAGAACTGTCTCAAAATCTGACCACTTTTGAATTATGATGCATTCATTCTTTTTATTGCTATACATACTATTTATTTTTGTTTTTTTGTTTTTTTTGCGCAGGCCGAGTATAGCAGATTTTTTTTGCTATTTATCTGCAACCAGATTGTTTTTATACGACTGAAAATACTTATTTTGAACTTCTGCGAGTGTACACTAATGTGTGTTTCTGAGCGGATGACACAAAGAGGTTTTTGTGTGTGTGTGTGTGTGTGTGAGTGAATGTGCATTTATTCCCTTGTGTGTGTTTACATATAAATATACAACTGTATGTGTATGTGTATGTGTGAGTGGGGTCATTTATTAGGACATTAGAAAGGACAGTGAAAAGCACTAACTTACCCAAACAAAACAATGTCCAGAGTCAAGCAGCCATACACAAATAGCTAAAGCTCCCATTCATTAAACATGAGA